AATCCGTGCGCACAGTTTAGCAATCCGTGCGCACAGTTTAGTAATCCGTGCGCACAGTTTAGTAATCGTGCGCACAGTTTAGTAATCCGTGCGCACGGATTACTAAACTGTGCGCACGGATTACTAAACTGTGCGCACGGATTTCCAGCGGCTGTTTTTTTCCCTCACACTGACCCCCCGTGGGCTCCGTACTATAGAGAAGAATCTTATTGAAACATCCTGACTTTAACCAGAGTCATGAAGAGGTTTGATTCTCAGTAACAGAAGAGCAAAATTTATGTACTAAAGAAACAACAATACATGACATTGTAATGCTGTTTTATTATTTTCATTTGTTTAATAAACACACTGGTGTGATACAACTTAGTACGTTTGATTGCTTTCTGAGATAAGTCTATTTTGGAGTTGTAGCCCCCCCACCGGAGAAAAATCCACCGACCTTCACTGCTAAACTGCTGTAAATATTCCTCTTGCAGAGATCACAGACGTTTGGAGGTAAAAAGCTGAAGTTTCAGCTGATAATCTGTTGTGGGACTTGTTTTGTGAGGAAACTCTACCTTTGCACCGTTCTCCAGGAGGATCTCTGTCACAGCTTTCCCGATGCCCATGGCCGCGCCGCTCACCACCGCAGTTTTCCCTTCCACAGACATGTTGAGCTGAAAACAAGGGGAGGAGGACTGACCAACACTTGGAAGTCTGAATCAGTTCTAAACAGTGACTGTGGAGCAGCTGGGCTTTTATCTGTCACCGCCCAACAGCTCTGTCCGCCCACAACAAGTCCACACAGGTCCAAACATAACCAAACAAGTTGCTTCTTTCCTCAGCTTGCAAACACAATACCTCACTTACAAACATAAAAGATGCTTTGAAACCAAAACATAGCTTCAACTTGCTTCAAAAAGTACACTTTTTAAACTATTTGTCCTCTTTTTGCTTGTTTAGTGTTAGCAAAGACCAAAGTCCCTCATGTGACCCTCTTCCAGGACCTCCTCCACAGGTCACTGTTTACCTGAAAATCAATTATAAACTGATCACATCTTTTATAATCAGTTTAGGTCAGAGGTCTACAACCTGCTGCCTGCATGGTCTCTGCAGGTTTGACCAAAACCAACATGGAAATAAACTTATTTTCATAGGATTTAAATCTGGTTCTACCAGTTTTCTTGTCCAAAACATGGAGCAGTAAAGGCCCAGATTTAAAATAAAAACATAACGTGTTGAGAAGATACTTTGATCTAGACGTTTTGACCAAACCTTGGTATCATTTAACACTGAGAA